CAGCCATATAAGACGGAAGATGTCGGTAAATGACCAAGTGACAAGACTGAGGAAAACAGAAGGGGCATATACAGAAAGCGACAAGGAAATCTGCGAGGTACTGAATGCAAGTTTCCATGGAGTGTTCACAACCGAGCCTGAGCAGCTCCCATTGTTAGAAGTGATTACCCTAGATGAAAGACTATCAGATATAGAGGTGACAGCAGAGGATGTAATGAAACAGTTGACAACACTGGATGCAAATAAAGCTGTTGAACCAGACAAAGTATCACCGTGGATACTTAAAGAGGCAGCGCAGGCTCTCAGCGTGCCTCTGGCAATGATCTTTAATGAGTCACTTATGTCGGGAGAATTGCCAGTTGCTGGAAGGAGGCAAATGTCGTACCGATTTTCAAGAAAGGTGATAGGGAGGAGGCACTTAACTACAGACCGGTGTCGTTGACAAGCATCCCCTGCAAAATACTTGAAAGGATAATTAGGCTAAGACTTGTTGAGCTCCTGGAGAGCATTGGGTTTGTAAACAAGCACCAACATGGGTTCTGGACAGGGAAATCATGCCTAACAAACCTTTTAGAATCCTATGATAAAGTAACAAGGATAAGGCAGGACAGAGAAGGCTGGGCAGACTGCATATTTCTTGACTGCCAAAAGGCCTTTGATACAGTACCGCACATGAGACTGCTATACAAACTTGAGAGGCAGGCAGGAGTAAGCGAAAAGGCCCTAGCATGGGTGAAGAACTACCTAACAGGAAGGAGCCAGAGGGTAATGGTAAGGGGCGAGAAGTCGGACTGGCGAACAGTAACAAGTGGAGTACCTCAAGGATCGGTGCTGGGACCAATCCTCTTTCTAATTTACGTAAATGATATGTTTACAGGAGTGGAATCATACATGTCAATGTTTGCGGATGACGCAAAATTAATGAGAAGAGTTATGACAGACGAGGATTGTAGGATCCTCCAAGAGGACTTAAACAGGTTGCAGAGATGGTCAGGGAAATGGCTACTGGAGTTTAACACCAGTAAATGTAAAGTTATGGAAATGGGATCAGGTGATAGGAGACCAAAGGGACAGTACACAATGAAGGGGAACTGCCTACCTGTAACGATTCGAGAAAGAGACCTGGGAGTGGATGTGACACCTAATCTAACTCCTGAGGCACATATAAATAGGATAACGACAGCAGCGTACTCTACACTGACGAAAATTAGAACTTCATTCAGAAACCTAAATGAGGAGGCTTTTAGGGCGCTTTACACTGCCTATGTGAGACCCGTCTTAGAGTATGCTGCGCCATCATGGCGCCCCCACCTGAAGAAACACATAAGGAAACTGCAGAAGGTTCAGAGGTTTGCGACGAGGCTTGTCCCAGAGTTACGAGGGATGGGATATGAAGAGCGTCTGAAGGAACTGAACCTTACGACACTAGAGAAAAGAAGGGAGAGAGGAGATATGATAGGGACGTATAAAATACTCAGGGGAATTGACAGAGTGGAAAGAGATGAAATGTTCACGCGTTATAATAACAGAACGAGGGGACATGAGTGGAAACTGGAAACTCAGATGAGTCACAGAGATGTTAGGAAGTTTTCTTTCAGCGTGAGAGTAGTGGAAAAATGGAATGCACTTGGGGAACAGGTTGTGGAAGCAAACTCTATTCATACTTTTAAAATTAGGTATGATAGGGAAATGGGACAGGAGTCACTGCTGTAAGCAACCGATAGCTGGAAAGGCGGGATCCAGGAGTCAATCTAGAGTGGAGAAATTTTAATATTAGTGTTAAACACCAATAATGTTAAACACTGTAAATATCTCACCTTGTTCTTCCAGACCACCTGCTGTTGGTGCTATAAACAGCAGTAAAGCCAGGCCGGCCTTAGTGTCTCACTTGTACCATTGATGTACAACAGTAAAGCCAGGCCGGCCTTAGTGTCTCACTTGTACCATTGATGTACAGCACTAAAGCCAGGCCGGCCTTAGGTCTCACTTGTACCATTGATGTACAACAGTAAAGCCAGGCCGGCCTTAGTGTCTCACATGTACCATTGATGTACAACAGTAAAGCCAGGCCGGCCTTAGTCTCTCACATGTACCATTGATGTACAACAGTAAAGCCAGGCCGGCCTTAGTGTCTCACTTGCACCATTGATGTACAACAGTAAAGCCAGGCCGGCCTTAGTGTCTCACTTGCACCATTGATGTACAGCACTAAAGCCAGGCCGGCCTTAGTTTCTCACTTGTACCATTGATGTACAGCAGTAAAGCCAGGCCGGCCTTAGTGTCTCACTTGCACCATTGATGCACAACAGTAAAGCCAGGCCGGCCTTAGTCTCTCACTTGCACCATTGATGTACAACAGTAAAGCCAGGCCGGCCTTAGTGTCTCACTTGCACCATTGATGTACAACAGTAAAGCCAGGCCGGCCTTAGTGTCTCACTTGCACCATTGATGTACAGCACTAAAGCCAGGCCGGCCTTAGTTTCTCACTTGTACCATTGATGTACAGCAGTAAAGCCAGGCCGGCCTTAGTGTCTCACTTGCACCATTGATGTACAACAGTAAAGCCAGGCCGGCCTTAGTCTCTCACTTGCACCATTGATGTACAACAGTAAAGCCAGGCCGGCCTTAGTGTCTCACTTGCACCATTGATGTACAACAGTAAAGCCAGGCCGGCCTTAGTGTCTCACTTGCACCATTGATGTACAGCACTAAAGCCAGGCCGGCCTTAGTTTCTCACTTGTACCATTGATGTACAGCAGTAAAGCCAGGCCGGCCTTAGTGTCTCACTTGCACCATTGATGTACAACAGTAAAGTCAGGCCGGCCTTAGTGTCTCACTTGTACCATTGATGTACAACAGTAAAGCCAGGCCGGCCTTAGTCTCTCACTTGTACCATTGATGTACAACAGTAAAGCCAGGCCGGCCTTAGTCTCTCACTTGCACCATTGATGTACAACAGTAAAGCCAGGCCGGCCTTAGTGTCTCACTTGTACCATTGATGTACAACAGTAAAGCCACGCCGGCCTTAGTCTCTCACTTGCACCATTGATGTACAACAGTAAAGCCAGGCCGGCCTTAGTGTCTCACTTGTACCATTGATGTACAACAGTAAAGCCAGGCCGGCCTTAGTGTCTCACTTGTACCATTGATGTACAACAGTAAAGCCAGGCCGGCCTTAGTGTCTCACTTGCACCATTGATGTACAACAGTAAAGCCAGGCCGGCCTTAGTGTCTCACTTGCACCATTGATGTACAGCACTAAAGCCAGGCCGGCCTTAGTTTCTCACTTGTACCATTGATGTACAGCAGTAAAGCCAGGCCGGCCTTAGTGTCTCACTTGCACCATTGATGTACAACAGTAAAGCCAGGCCGGCCTTAGTCTCTCACTTGCACCATTGATGTACAACAGTAAAGCCAGGCCGGCCTTAGTGTCTCACTTGCACCATTGATGTACAACAGTAAAGCCAGGCCGGCCTTAGTGTCTCACTTGCACCATTGATGTACAGCACTAAAGCCAGGCCGGCCTTAGTTTCTCACTTGTACCATTGATGTACAGCAGTAAAGCCAGGCCGGCCTTAGTGTCTCACTTGCACCATTGATGTACAACAGTAAAGTCAGGCCGGCCTTAGTGTCTCACTTGTACCATTGATGTACAACAGTAAAGCCAGGCCGGCCTTAGTCTCTCACTTGTACCATTGATGTACAACAGTAAAGCCAGGCCGGCCTTAGTCTCTCACTTGCACCATTGATGTACAACAGTAAAGCCAGGCCGGCCTTAGTGTCTCACTTGTACCATTGATGTACAACAGTAAAGCCACGCCGGCCTTAGTCTCTCACTTGCACCATTGATGTACAACAGTAAAGCCAGGCCGGCCTTAGTGTCTCACTTGTACCATTGATGTACAACAGTAAAGCCAGGCCGGCCTTAGTGTCTCACTTGTACCATTGATGTACAACAGTAAAGCCAGGCCGGCCTTAGTGTCTCACTTGTACCATTGATGTACAACAGTAAAGCCAGGCCGGCCTTAGTCTCTCACTTGCACCATTGATGTACAACAGTAAAGCCAAGCCGGCCTTAGTGTCTCACTTGTACCATTGATGTACAACAGTAAAGCCAGGCCGGCCTTAGTGTCTCACTTGTACCATTGATGTACAACAGTAAAGCCAGGCCGGCCTTAGTGTCTCACTTGTACCATTGATGTACAACAGTAAAGCCAGGCCGGCCTTAGTCTCTCACTTGTACCATTGATGTACAACAGTAATTACTTTCCGCCCGGCAATGCACTCTGACATTGTCGTCAGTCCTTCAGCAAGTTGTTGTGCCATTAGTCAGGGCTGTAGGAGTGGGGGCGTCTGGTACACCTGCTTCATATAGAGAACTGTCAGGCTCCGAACCTGAGTCAGTTAGTCCTACAGAGTTCTAATTAAGCGAAGGATTTGAACACAGAAGAGTTCTAAGCTTGACCACTTAACACTATGGATATTGTTAAATAAGCTAATGATGGGTAGTGTCCAATAACAGATAGTGTCCCTGGTACACTTCACAGGTCTCCTCTCAGTGGCCATGAACTACAAGACCTGTTGTGTGGGGGGACGTGTGTGACGCCACACTTCTCCTTCCCACCATCACACTTCACTAAAATATTGCATAAAGCACAAATACAACCTGAAAACAATGTACCTTGTTACGGCCCCTTTGGGCCAGTAACCGCGTTCTTGCTATTATAACCTCTTCTTCTATATCCAACTCCATGCCGGTGATAAGCGTTCAAGAACTGGATGTGTCAAGTAGTAGTGCATAGAACAAAAGGGGGGGGGGGGGTAAACAATACACTATTACACCTTCACCAATATATTGACACCTTCACCACTATCAATATTATATTAAGGTATTACTACACATATTTACAAAGTTTCGCTTTCAGCCAGGACACAGTACATGGGCAGTGTTCATCAAATCCCCGTGACTCCACTTGCCAGGTACACGTCGTCCACTCGTAATGGTAAACACCGGCGTGTTCACCTTCAACATGGGCCAGTCCACACACACCGTATCACCACGATGTGTCAATACCCCACCTCCGCTCTCCAGGTACACACTAACAGGGGTCTCAAACAATCACTATCACATCCCCTCCTTCCCCTTCGTTCAGCAGTCCCCCACTCCCTCCTCCAGCATTCTTCCTCCTCCTCCCTGCTTAGCCTTTCTTCCCTCTCATAAGGTATAATATTATGCAGCACTGAGAGAAGTGTATTTAGGAAATATTTGGCAATGATGATCAAAATTTTATGTGAATAATTAATAACATTTCTTAAATCATTTAACATAGACCTACCCTGACCAGCTACACACACCCCTCCAACTCTATGTTGTTTTCTTTATTATATAACAGCAAAAGTTTACAAATAAAAGGAAATGTACCAAAACAATAGAGTACGTGAGCAGCACAACCAACAGCATCATCAGCCGAGCACCAAATGAATACAAGCGTGTGACCTCCAACTCTGAACAAACAGACAGACATTCACTCATATAAGTATAGATATATCCCAACATTAATATAATATTCTCTGTTAATCTTTCATGTTGATTGTGGTTATGTATGACTGTTAAAGGCCGGTGTGTATTGTTGTGACAGACTGAAGTATCGTAACAGTTGCTAGCCAGGCAAGCTAGTAGAAGGCCAGAGAGATGCTGCTAACTTCTTACTGATCTCCCAAAGTAAATATAATAGGAAGCAAGAGGGTTGAGAGCTGCAACTGCAGCACCTGTAAGTTGAAGCTCGACCCTGCAAACTCATCACGAATAATAATCAAACGCAGCAGTTTGCCGTGATGAAGCTCGCATGTCTAGCGACCTGACAGACATTCCCCACAGGAGAATTACTGCTGATGCTCAGACTTGTCCTTGTTTTCTTATCAATTGCTTAGATTGCCAGTAGGGGCGAGGAGGCGTGTGGCTGGGCCAGAGGAGGGGGGGGGGGCGTGTGGCTGGGCCAGAGGAAGGGGGGGGGGCGTGTGGCTGGGCCAGAGGAGGGGGGGGGGGGTGTGGCTGGGCCAGAGGAGGGGGGGGGTCGTGTTCAATATTCAAGCAGACGTTGCCTTGCATCTTGTGTGTCCACCGTGTAGTGCTTGCTGGGTCCAGCTCCAGCTCCTGGGCCAGCGTGTTACGTAGTCAGCCACTTGATGTAGTGTATCCGCCATCCTCATATGGTTGTCTTAGTTTGATGCAAGCTTCAACAAGCTCTTTATATATATATTTAACTTTATACATTAATAGACGGGGCACACTCCCGTCCCTCCGTCTGTCTCCTTTGTCTCCCCATCATTCACACACTCACACTCACACACACTCTCACTCACAAAATTATGCCAAATTTATTATTATAATTATGCCAAAATGATGCCAAAATTATGAGAAGGATTAAGACAGAAGAGGACTGTTTGAGGCTTCAAGAAGACCTAGACAAGCTGAAGGAATGGTCGAACAAGTGGTTGTAGGAGTTCAACCCAACCAAATGTAATGTAATGAAGATAGGTGTAGGGAGCAGGAGGCCAGATACAAGGTATCATCTGGGAGAGGAAATCCTTCAGGAGTCAGAGAAAGAAAAAGACTTGGGAGTTGATATCACGCCAGACCTGTCTCCAGCAGCACATATCAAGCGGATAACATCAGCGGCATATGCCAGGCTGGCCAACATACGAACGGCATTCAGAAATTTGTGTAAAGAATCATTCAGAACTTTGTATACCACATATGTCAGGCCAATTCTGGAGTATGTAGCCCCAGCATGGAGTCCATATCTTGTCTAGGATAAGACTAAACTTGAAAAGGTTCAAAGATTTGCCACCAGACTAGTACCCGAGCTGAGAGGTATGAGCTACGAGGAGAGACTGCGGGAATTGAACCTCACTTCGCTGGAAGACAGAAGAGTTAGGGGGGACTTGATCACTAAATTCACGATTCTCAAGGGAATTGATAGGGTAGATAAAGACAGGCTATTTAACACAAGGGGCACACGCACAAGGGGACACAGGTGGAAACTGAGCGCCCAAATGAGCCACAGAGATATTAGAAAGAACTTTTTTAGTGTCAGAGTGGTTGACAAATGGAATGCATTAGGAAGTGATGTGTTGGAGGCTGACTCCATACACAGTTTCAAGTGTAGATATGATAGAGCCCAATAGGCTCAGGAATCTGTACACCTGTTGATTGACGGTTGAGAGGCGGGACCAAAGAGCCAGAGCTCAACCCCCGCAAACACAACTAGGTTATCTTGAGATGATTTTCGGGGCTTTTTAGTGTCCCCGCGGTCCGGTCCTCGGCCAGGCCTCCACCCCCAGGAAGCAGCCCGTGACAGCTGACTAACACCCAGGTACCTATTTGACTGCTAGGTAACAGGGGCATAGGGTGAAAGAAACTCTGCCCAATGTTTCTTGCCGGCGCCTGGGATCGAACCCAGGACCACAGGATCACAAGTCCAGCGTGCTGTCCACTCGGCCGACCGGCTCCCCAGTTGTAGGTACTCACCTACAACCGGTTCACCGGTTGTAGGTGAGTACAACTAGGTGAGTACAACTAGGTGAGTACACACACACACACACACAATCACTCACACACACGCACACACTGTCACTCACACTCTCACACAAACTCTCTCTCTCCACATTTCAGAGAGAACGTCATATATTATCAGAATTTGCACATGTTTTTGATGTTATCTAATTTATATAAGCCTCAGAAGAAAGGCTTGGCATTCATTTTTACCACTTTGAATTAGTGGAATTGGACACTTGAACCTTGAGTTAGTCACTTATTGTCCCTCTAAATCTCCCTGCACTTTTTGTCAATAGTCGAAAGCGTTTATTATAAATTGTGCATTATCACCTATAAGAATAGACCCTATAGAAGACCTTTTGGTCAATATGAGGCGGCACCTTTTTATATCTAAATCATTTAAGTTTATATTTGTAATACACTTTTTAAACAATCAAGTGATCCTGTCTTATTTTATTACCCCGAAACATGTTACATAAATCCTATTTACAATCCAATATTTACTCAAGTCATTTATGAACCTAAACGTATCATATATTATATATATATATATATATATATATTAGTATATTTTGGTAGCAGTCTTTCCTGTAGACATATTTTATTAAATATGACCGAAAAAGTAAGATTAATAATTCTAACACGAATTTTCTCAATCTTTCGTACATTATGCTTCACTGTTGGAGGTAAATCAAAAATCACTTCTCCAAAATTCATTTTTATTTCTAGTCTGACGCGACACGGGCGCGTTTCGTAAAACTTATTACATTTTCAAAGACTTCACAAATACACAACTGATTAGAACTTGCATTTCCCTGATTTTATATCTACTTTTGAGTGAGGTGGGAAGGGTGATGTGGCATTACATTTGAGTGAGGTGGGAAGGATGATGTGGCATTAGAGGATATTAATAGGGTATTAAAAGTATCAACACAAGACAGAACACGAAACAATGGATATTGAATAGAAGTGTTTGTAGAAAGCCTATTGGTCCATATTTCTTGATGCTTCTATATTGGAGCGGAGTCTTGAGGTGGGTAGAATATAGTTGTGCAATAATTGGCTGTTGATTGCTGGTGTTGACTTCTTGATGTGTAGTGCCTCGCAAACGTCAAGCCGCCTGCTATCGCTGTATCTATCGATGATTTCTGTGTTGTTTACTAGGATTTCTCTGGCGATGGTTTGGTTATGGGAAGAGAAGTGAATTTTGGAGAAGTGATTTTTGATTTACCTCCAACAGTGAAGCATAATGTACGAAAGATTGAGAAAATTCGTGTTAGAATTATTAATCTTACTTTTTCGGTCATATTTAATAAAATATATATATATATATATATATATATATATATATATATATATATATATATATATATATATATATATATATATATATATATATCTTTATATATATATATATATATATATATATATATATATATATATATATATATATATATATATATATCCATTTGTCTGGGTTTCAGTTTATGTTGCTATATTTAAAACAATATTGGTATCCATACTGGTATACATTTTTATCCATTAATATGACTCAAGTCACTTTTTACTTTTATTGACCAGACCATGCACTAGAAGGTGAAGGGACGACGACGTTTCGGTCCGTCCTTGACCATTCTCAAGTCGATTGTGAGAATGGTCCAGGACGGACCGACACGTCGTCGTCCTTTCAATTATTAGTGTGTGGTCTGGTCAACATACTTCAGCCCCGTTATTGTGACTCCTCGTCTGCACCTCTTACTTTTCGTCTGTCTAAAAAAATGTAAAATTATATTGTTAAAATCTTTGTTCATAAGGGAGCTTTCTAATTCTTGGGGTTAACTTTGTCATCCTTCATTGTTTGGTCCAAGTGTAGTTATCACCATTATATAATACGGTGAAGAGAAACTAAGTTGCATAACCGAATGAGCTTAACAAGAACATGATAAAGATTAAGAAAAACATTAGGATGTCTTATTGCTAACACTTCTAGAAATAAATCCCAAAACTCTATTTCTTTTATTTAGTAAATATATCCGTTGTTTTTTTTGGTTTAAGATCTCTACTAATCTTAATTACTTAATTATTTACAATATCTTTTTCGCATTCTGCACAGGAGTGAGTTGATTGACAGAGGGCGAGGTTGGTGGAAACTGAACTGCGGGCTGTGGAATGTAAGTGAGGCCATGAAGGACTTAGGGAGTTATGGGAGGTGCTGAGGAAGTTATCTTGAGGTTATCTTGGTTATCTTGTCCCCGCGGCCCGGTCCTCGACCAGGCCTCCTTTTTACTGCGTACTTCCGCCTCCACCGGGGATCGAACCCTTAAGCTTGGGCCTACGAATCCCGAGTTCTGTCTACTCAGCTGTCAGGCCCATTTGTTGAGGAAGGATGTGTCTCAACCTTCAACACTTCAATACTTTCAAACTCACTCAAAGAAGGTGAACAGGGCGGCTGTGGGTCGGTACCGGTTGATTAATGTGCTAGAAAGTATATTAAAACAATTTAGTCGTAATAGGATGCTGGTGGCAAGAGTTTT